CCTGCATCCTGGAGCATGGGAACATTTAGGAAGTTCCCTAACTAACCACTGAGGTCTACAGTAACTCTTGGCATGGGCATGAGGATTTCCTGTGTTATCTGATGGTGAATCTCCAGGAAGCAAAGAATGTAAGGACTACTTCTCCAATAAGTTAGTGATTCCCAAACTTTTCAAGTAGAAATAGATTTTTTTAAAGTTAAAAAAAAAAAAGTTAAAGACCTCAGAGTTCTTATAGTTTGTTCAGGAAATATAAAATAACCAAGAGCTACTATAACTTCATATAGTAACCTTAAAAGATTTTGTATTTTATTAATCAAATTGTATCTTCATATACTTACAAAGTGTATGAAATACCTACATGTGGGCGTATTATTTTGTTGACAGAAGTTTTTCCCGCACCAGGGAGTCCCAGCCTCAGAGCTTCTCAGCCTGCAGATGGGGAGGCTTTTTAGGGTGGGGAGTTCATGGGAGCTTTTGCTTGCTTGCTGACTTTGTCCTGTCCCCTTCAGATTTCACCCGAATGCAGGACATCCCAGAGGAGACCGAGAGCCGTGACGGGGAATCTGTAGCTTCAGAGAGCTAAGGGGGCCCCTCCTTCCTTCCTGTGCCCCCTGAAGAACGTTACTGAAAGAGGCAAACCTTGGAAACTCCAACCTGCCAATGACCAGGGAGCATTCGAACTGCTGATTGTCCCAGCCAGCTCTTGGGATCCTCGGATACCTGGGGCCATTTAGGAAGCTGGGGGAATTAGGACACAGTGCCCCCTGGTGGCATCCAGAAGCTATACCACAGATGCCAATTTTTCATCATGCCTTCTTCCCTCTACTTTAGGAAAATTTATTTATTTATTGTTTATTAGTTATGGAGGGAGAGGAGAGATTTAGAGGACCAGGGACATGGGAACCAAGCCATAGGGATCGGGGGCCTTGTCCTTTAACACTACTGGGGTTTATTGAGACAACCTTGCAGCTGCTGGGTTCTAGCCCTGACACCCTCCCAGCAACACCATCTTTAAAGAGAGGCTGCAACCTTAGGACCCTACTGCCCCTTCAAGAAGGGCTGTGGGCAGAGCCATGTCCCTCTTCCCTCAACCTTGTACTGCTGTTCCCTCTTCTCTCTGTGCTCCATGGAAGCCCAGGGAGATATCCTGGCTTCCTAGAGTTGATGGAATAGGGGTTAAAGTGGCCATAATGGTCTGTTGGGGGTGAGGGAAAAACCCACAGGGGCCAGAATGTCTTTTTGTTGTTTTCTTTTTTTTGTACCAAAGCCAACTGCACGTGTTTTATATTTTTAACAGAAGATTGTAGGCAATTAGAAATTGCAGCCTTCTATCTACACATCTCTGAAGAACTTGAGGGATGGGGAAGTAATGACTTTTTCCCTCATCTATAGTAACAGGGGGCCTAGTCTGACCTCTCCTCCAGCCATTTGGAAACAAAGTTCTAGGGTGAGTTGGGAAATCTCTACAAACCCTGACCTTATCCTGCAGCTCACCAACCATGACCTGAAACCTCAGTCTGAATTTGGGGGGGGGTTTCAGTGGACCCCCAGTGCCCACCAGCCCCAGCCATTTGCCAATTTGATTGTTTAAAAAAAAGAGAAAGATAAAGCAAGGAAAATTAAAGACCTGGAACCCTATGAAGCGCTGTCTATGAATGCCTGCCAGTGCTGATGGTGCTGTTGAAGGGAAGAACCAGGCGGTGACCTGTGTTCCTCCGAAAGTGGGCCTTTCCTCTCACGGGAAGGGCAGGTGGCCTCCTGAAGATGGGGGCCTACCAAAAGAAACTGCCACCAACTTTGTTCACAAACGCAAGGATAAAGATGAAGCGGTACTTGGGTTTCAGTGGCTGTTAGGGATTCCAATATTTAAAAACTTCTTTTCCTCTCATTTGTATGCTGTGCTCAGAAGCTGCATCAGCCTCTTGCCCCCTTCCCTCCCTCTGACAGTTCCTCTGAGCAGCTCAGCAGTGTCCTTTGTTTTCAGATTCAGCTCCCACTCTACCCTGGTTCTTCAGTGTCAGAGCCCTGGGCTAACTTTTCAAAATGGTTCCCCTCAGAGGAGTTGTTTGTTTGCTTTTTGGCTCTTCTAAGGGCAGTGAGAGATTAGGTTGATTTCATTTCTCGTTTTGATTAATTTTACTTCCTGTTTCTGGTTAATACCCTACCCTGGGGCTGTGGGGGAGGCGAGCCTAGAGTTGTAGAAATGCTGGCATATGTGCATGTATCTCCATGGGAGCCGAGGGAGTGAGAAGGGAGTGGGGTGTGAGACCTCGGCTGGGAAGAGGAATTGGAATCCACGATGGGGAGTGGGCTTGGGGGAGCAGCCAGCACCCTCCAGCCTCTGATTCTTACCCAATATCAGGCCTTTACAAGGTGCTTCCTCATCCAGTGTGGAATCTGCTGTACAAATTGCTGTAATTTTATAGACAGAAATCTAGGTGCAAAAAGGTTGCCAGGCTTTGATAGGTAGTCCAGGAAGAAGTCAGCCCTCCTAATTGCAGTTCTTCACTCCCCCCCCCCCCACAGCTCTGCCTAAAAATACCAGAACTCCAGGGTTCAAACACACTGGTAGACACAGCCTCAACAGCCCTGTGCTGTGTCAGCTGGGACCCAAGGCCGTACAGGTGGAAAGGACAGAAAGCCCAGTGCCGGGTGTGAGGAGGGTATTAGATAGTGTCCAGAGACCACTGACGGGAACACAGCCTCCTCCCACATGCTCACAGGGATGCAGTCAAGGGTGCTGGTCAGGCCCAGAGCTTGTGTGGAGAAGTCCACAGCTCTATTGGCAATACCAGCCTTCCTGCGGCCCCCTGACCAAAACTGCCTCCTCGTCTTTGGAAACACGGTGTCACAAATACCCCTTGCCTAATCCCATTTTTGGAAACTCGGTCTAAACTCTGGCCCTCCTGCAGTTTCAAGCTCTGTCGTTGTGCTGCAGGGAGCCGGGGCCCAGCCTTTTGCCAGGACAATGCCTTCCCACTGAGGCGCTGCGCAGCTATCTTTCATTGCTGCACCCTCCCCTGCTTCTCTGACCTCTTCTAAAAGTAGGCTTGTGTGCATTCACCTCTGGATTGGACCTGTTTAAACTGTCAATATTTACCTCTGGGTCCCATAAAGCAGAGAGGAGCCAATATCCGGGGCCCAGCAGAGGCAGGGCCGTTGGAGGAGCTCCGGGTGGGGTGGTCAAGGGTGCTTAGGTGGGTAAGGGTTTCCCACCCTGAACTGGCTGAGAACAGACCTGAAGTTCTAGAACCAGTTTAAACATTATCCAAAAAAAAAGGAAATTAAACATCGAGAGGCTAATTAAATCTCTATATTACTTCATATGTGCTGAATTGGGTGGCTGTTAACAGCCTCTTGGCAACGGGATGGAGCTGGTCCAGGGGAGCCTACAGGCCATGTGGCTGCCCGCTCCAGAATGGCCCTGCGCACAAGCGCACAGGCACTGCTCTCCACTGTCGCTGTGGGACCTCGAGTGGCTAAGAGTTGTCCCAGGTCATAAGATGTGCCAGGGCTTGGGGGTGGGGCAGTGGAAATGGGAGCTCCGCCCCATCTTCCTGCTACCTCCCTCCTTTCCAGAGTCTTCCCCCCACAAAGTCCCTGGGTCTCGGGCCTCTGGAAACGGGAACCCCCTGCTCCAAAGAACAGACCTTCAAGACGGGCTCAAGGGGCCAACTCCTCACTCAGTTCTTACGTAAAACTTTCACTTATTCCACAATATGTAAAAATCATTCCAGATGAGCCCTGACCTGTGACTTGATTGAACACTGTCCTATAAAATTAAAGGTTGCTGGTTCGATTCCAGGCCAGAGCACACACCTGGGCTGTGGGCCAGGTCCCTGGTTCAGGGCAATGCATGAGGCAACCAAACAATGCTTCTCTCACACATTCTTTTTTCTCTCCCTCTCTTTCTCCCATCCCATATGTCTAAAAAATTTAAAAAATATTTTAAAAGTCATTCCAGATGAGACCTCTATGATCCCTCAGTCCCATCTCCCAGCTATCCCCTAATTTTTTCCTTTACCTCTGTTGCCACTTTACATAGAGTATAAGAATAATAGCTAACACTTTCAGGCAGCAGCCCATGTTATAGATGAGAGAACAGGTACAGAGAAAGTAATTTACAGAGTTCCCTTGGAGCTAGGCTGTGAGTCCGCAAGCTTGGACGCTGGGCGGAGCCCCTGGGCAGGGAAGAAGACCAGCACCGCGTTCCCTGCTTTCTACTCTCCCAGCCTCCTCTCCCCTCACCTTCCCTCAGCATCTTTCCCCTCACCATGCCTCACCCACATCCTTGACTTGTTAGCTTCACTTCTCCCTGTATATCCTGGTTTAAGGGAGACACGCAGGGACTCCCAGTCAACGCCAGGAATTTACACTCCAGGTTTGGCGGGTGCCGGGGATCCAGCAAGATTCCACGTGTGGCATCTTCCTGCAGGTTAACTACAGCTTCTGCAGCTGAGTTCTTGGCAGGTGCCAGGCCCCTGTGAGCCCCAGTGAGAGGGTAAGTAGGGGGAGACGGCCAGGGGAGGAGGGCAGTTTTGGCCCTGGCACCAGAGGACAAAAGCGCACCCTGTTTGAGGTGGGGAGGGGGCAGGGGGGCAGGCAGAGGGAGGCAGGTGCTGACCTCGGATCCATGAGTTTAGAACCCTTAGGAAATATTTCCTGGGGATCCTCACGGGAGGCAAAAGTGAGGCAAAGAATGCTTTTGTCCACACTGAAATGGAGCTGGAATTGGGAGAAAAAGTCAAGACAATTTGTGGATGATCCAGAGGTTTATTTTAAGACCCTCTTCTTTCCCACCTCCAAATGGAGACTTAAGCATTGTCATACCCAGCTCTGACCTGGGCCCAGGCCTCCCCCAATTCCACCACACCCAGAGTGGGATCAAAGATCAGACGTTCCATGAAGGTATCACAGCCCGGCAGAAAGGCCAGCCTCTCCCTAGCATGCATGGATCTTGCCCCGGCCCATCCCAGAAAGAGGGTGTTCAGCTTGTGCCTTCACCCAGGTGTTCCTGTGTCCAAGTTGGCGAGCATAGTAGAAGGGCCACTCTCCTGGAGGATGGTCTCCGCCCTGCCTACCTCTTTTAAGGCCACCTGCTTCACCCAGCCAGGGCTCTGGGGCCACAGTCGGGCTCGGAGATCCCTGAAGGTGTCTGCCAGGGCCTGCCGTGGCTCCTGCCGTAGGAGACAGTACAGCACAGGGTTGAGGCAGCTGTTGCTGTGTGCCAGGCAGGTGGTGACAGGGAAGACGTAGGTATGGATGATAGAGAAAGTGCTGTCCCAAGGCACCAGATCAAACTTCACCAGGACATCCCAGAGAGTGACCATGTGGTTGGGGAACCAGCAGAGGAAGAAGGAGGCCACCAGGATGCAGACGGAGCGGGCCACGACCCTGCTATCCTGCCGTCGCCGTTGCCGTCGTCGCAGGAAGGCCAGCAACAGTAGGTAGCTGGTGGTGAGGATGCCCAGAGGCACCAGGAAGGCCAGCACGACCCTCAGCAGCTGGTAGACCCCCAGCCAATACCTGCTGGGGAAGCGCAGCAGGCACAGACGCACGCCCCACACCTCCCCCTCGGCCCCAAAGACTGCTGTGGGCACGGCCAACAGGGCAGCTGCTGCCCACACCGCCAGGGTGGCTATGCGGACCCAGAAGAGGGAGAGGTGGGTGCCTGGTCCTGCTGCCATGGCCACCGCCCAGTACCGGGCAACACTCAGCGCTGTGATGAGGAAGATGCTGGCATAGATGTTGAAGACAGTGGCCGTCAGGACCATCTTGCAGAGGGCCCCTCCGAAGGGCCAGTGGAAGTCCAGTGCCGATTCAGCTGCCCAGAAGGGGAGAGTAAGTGCCAGCCCCAGGTCTGCCAGAGCCAGGTTGAAGACAAAAGTGTCAGATGGCGGGCAAGGGGCTCGCCGAGCACAATTACCCAGCACCCATAGCACAGCCAAATTTCCCAGTAATCCAATGGCCCCTACAAGCCCATAGGCCAAGGCAACCACAACTCTCAGGGCTAGGAACTCAACAGGCATCGCGGCATCATCCACACTCAGCATACTGCCTGCAGAGGTGTTGACCCAGGAAGTGGGTGGGGAGGCAGAGGTGTTGGGTGTGGGCATCTCTGGGCAACAGAGGTTGCAGTGCCAGGCACCAGGGCCAGCAGGGTCAGCAGGGCCAGACTGGCAGGGGACCCCTGGGGTTCTCAGCAGGAGGCTCCAGACCTCTGAGGGCGGGGTATACATGGGACAACCCACTCCAGCCCTGTTGGTCATGATTGGTGCTGGGTGGGGCAGGGTGAGAGACGGCCGGAAGATTGGTGTGTGTGTAGGTGTGTGTATGTGTGTGTGTGTGGCACGCATGCGCATGTGTGTGGGAAGGGCTCGTGTGGTAAAGAGGGAGGAGAAAAGGGGGAATTACCACGTTGAAGAGCCTTCACCCCAGGGAGAGAACAAGAGGTACCCCATCTCAGGGATGGCAGGAACTAAACTGCAGCCCTACTTCCTAACTGTGCAGGCCCTCTTCTCTGGAGAAAGTGCACATTTAGGTCCTGAGGGAAAGGGCCTGGGAGGGGGCATGTGGCACAAAATCAAAATTTGTGTGTGTCTGCGCGCACGCGCGCAAGAGAGAGAGAGGGAGAGAGAGCGCGCGCTCAGAGGTTCTGGAGTTCCAGACCTGCTACTCACTTGCTGTGTGCCTTTGGGTGAGTTGCTCTACTCCCCTGAGCCTTGGTTTTTCCTTGCTTAAAATTTCCAGATAAAAGTCTCTGCTTCACAAGATCGGTGTGATAAAATTATATAAGTGTAAAAAAAAATGTGCTTTTACTTTGCTATTTGAATGAATGATTATTTCAAAGGAAAAGTTTAGGGTGTTTGTGGCAGACGGGAGCAGGGTACTGAGCAGTTATCACTAAGTCCAAGGAACAGTGCCAACTAAAACACAGGGTGCAATTCATTGCAGCAAGTGACCTTGAGGCTAAGGGCAGGGAGGGAAAGGGGAAAGGAAGTCACAGCTTCCTGTTCCCTCCCTACTGGGAACAAGGCCTGGGAGGACCTGAGTAGACCTGGGCATGCCCTCCCTTCTCTTCCTGCTCCTGAGCATTAAGCAGTCTTGCTAACCTCTATTGCTCCTCTGCTTTTGAACCTTTCCTGCTATAGGCTGTGGAGGTCAGTAGCACCTGCACTCTCTTCCCCAGTCCCTAAACCTATTTTAGAGCTATGGATGCTGAGATGCATTCTCACCACACCTCATCCTGTCTCCCCATGATCTCAGTTCTAACTGGAAAAAGTGCTTCATTGGGTCCTCCCCTTTGGTGCCCATATGTCTACCCTTTGCTTTGATGGGGAAAAGGGGGTGGGAGGTGGGTAGATAGAGGAGTGAATCTTTTTTGAAGATTCCGAAATATTCAACACCTTCCTGCCCTCTGCCAACTAATCTCAATGTTTGATGTTCAGTTTGCTTGGGGTGAGGAGAGGGGCCCTTCAGGACAGTAAATCAGCAATGGGTTGGATGAACCCTATAGAAGAAAAGCAGAGGTAAAGAGATGTAGACTGGGGGCCAGGATGTTTGGGGTTTTCAGTAAGGAATGGGCGTGAAGGGAGTGTCAGAAGGGGAGTGCCCTGCCCCAGTTCTGTTTCATCCTGCGGGGCTACCCCCTGGCCTCAAGGGCTGACCATGTTTCCTCGTCCACACATGCAAATGCCACCTTGCCAGTGTAGCAGTGAAGGTAATGAATTAGGCTTATTTTCCCTTACTTTGGAAAAAAGAAGCTGGCTCAGAATTCTAAGGTGCTCCTAGTCCTTTGACATATCTGGTCCTCTGATCCCTCCCTCCCTCCCTCCTTCTCTCCCTTCTTTCCTTCCTCCCTCTCTCCTTCCCTCCTTCCCTTTCTTTTTACCTTTATTCATTTCTAATCTAAATCCTTTCCCTTTCTCAGTCAACACTGGCTCCCCTCTCCACCCCTGCCCCGAGGTTATGTAGAGAAATGATGCCACCAGCTGGCCAAGTCTAAGAATTTCACTTTGGGCCCTTTCATTTGATAAAATTTAATAAAATAAGGTCCTCATAAAATATAATAAACTTCTTGAGATGAATAGGATCTTTAAGATCATCTAGTTCAAGTTATAATTTTATAGGGTATGAAAGTGACTTGCCCAAAGCCACCAGGGAAGTAGTGGCAGAGTCAGGATTTGAGTTAAAAGTCTCTTGACTCCTAGAATCTGGTTCTTTCCGTTATATCACAAAACTCTTTAGTTATTTTCACCTATAATCTCTTCCCCTTTTCTGAGTACAAGAAGCACCATTCCTTACCTGTGGGAAGCTTCTAGGCCGCAGATGGAAACAGGATATGGACGGAGGGATGATGCAGTTTATTTTTATTTATTTTAGAGGTTTTATTTATTTTATTTTTAGAGGGAAAGGGAGGGAGAAAGAGAGGGAGAAAACCATCAATGTGTGAAAGAAAAGATGCGCAAGAGATGGACCGGCTGCCTCTTACATGACCCCAACTGGGGACCTGACCAGAGACCGGGCATGTCCCCTGACTTGGAATCAAACTGGCGACCTTTCAGATTGCAGGCCAGCACTCAATCCACTGAGCCACACCAGCCAGCGCTCTAGATGGTTTTCATTTACAGCTGCTGGGAGATGAGGAGGAACTGGATTAACAAAAATGACTTCACAGTCCCTCACATTTATATACTTCACCAGCCCCATTTTCTGTCTTAGTAGAACACAAAGACTTGTAGCAGTAGATTATGGTGTCTGTCTAACTTCTAATGACATGGCCTTCCCTCATTACTGAATATCCATCCACCCCTCCTCAGCCCACAAGTCTCTCCACCCCCCATCCCTGTCCCTGCACTTCAGAGCCTAGGCAAAGAGGATGGGAGGTGGGGAGGCCAGAGAGTCTGAGTTATCTTTCTACAGAGCAAAAAGAGAAAAAAAACTCTGCATTTGTGGCAGAGGAGACTACTGTATTTTGCTGTCCATAGTGTGTACTTTTTTTGCCCAAACTTTTGATGGGGAAAATAGGGATACGTGTTATACATGGGTAGTACTAATTCCATATCTATATAAATGTTTTAAATTCTTATATTTATGCTTATGCGTTAAAAGTGTAACTCTGGAAAGCAATAACAATATCCATATTCAAAATAATACCCTGGAGTACAATACTTGGTTTTATATGTAAGTAAAAAATTGAATTAAAAAATTAAAATGAAAGATTTTTTTTCCTGAAAGTTTGGACCACAAATGTGGGTGGACATTATACATGGCAAAATACAGTAGAGGCTTGGGGGACTACCCCTAATCCAAATCCCCAACCCAACATTAATCCACTCAGCCACCATCTCATACTCCTTCATAGGTCTGAAGGATCTGTTGAAGAAAATCCCCTAGTCTTTGTAAGGGGAATGGGCAGCTCTAATGTTCTGAGTCAATCTCTCTCTCTGTCTCTCTGTCTCCCTCCCTCTCTTCTTCTTCCCTCTCTCCCTTTTCTCAACTTCATATATATATTTAATCCTTACCTGAGTATATATTTATTGATTTTAGAGAGAGAGGAAGGAAGGGGAGGAGGGAGAGAGAGTGAGAGAAACATCAATGTGACAGAGATGTGAGAAACATTGCTTTGTTGCCTCCCATACAAGCTTTGACTAGGGATGGAACCTGCAACCTAGGTATGTGCCCTGACCTGGAATCAAACTTGCAAACTTTTTGGTGTACAGGATGATGGTCCAACCAAGCCCCCTGGCCAGGGGTCAACTTCATATTTTGGAATAGTTTTAGATGTACAGAAAAATGCAAAGGTAATGAGAGTAATCCAACTCTTTTATTTTCCACATTAAAACTGGAAGAGCATCAAAATTAAAAATCTTAGGGATAAATCTGACAAAAAGTGTGCACTATTGGCACACTGAAAACTACAAGGCACTACTGAGAAATTAAAGAAGACATAGAAAAATGGAGAGGCACAAGTTGTTCATGGGTTGGAAGACTCAATAACTTGGTTTTCCTCATAATGGGCCTGTAGATTTATTGCAATCCTAGTAAAAATTCTAGCAGCCTTAAACAGTTTTTAATTAATTTACTTATTGATTTCAGAGAGAGAGAGGAAGGAAGGAAGGAAGGAAGAGAGAACAACATTGATTTGTTGCTCCACTTATTTATGCATTCATTGGTTGATGCTTGTGTGTGCCCTGACCCTGGATGGAACCCACAACTTTGGCATATAAGGACAACGTTCTAACCAACTGAGCAACCTGGCCAGGGTGCAGCCCTCTTTACAAACAGGAATTAAGTCCTGGCTGGGTGGAGGCAGTTGGATGGAGTATCGTCCCATGCACTGAAGGGTTGTGGGTTCCATCCCCGGTCAGGGCACATATATAGGTTCTGGGTTCAGTCCCCTGGTTGATCCCTGGTTGGGGTGCTGACTGGAAGACAACCAATTGATATTTCTCTTTCACATCTCTCTCTCTTCCGCTTTCTCTTTCCTCCTTCCTCCCTCTCTAAAATTAATAAATTTAAAAAAATAAACTAAACATGCTAGGCAAACAGGACCTCTCTGGCACCCTAGTCTGCTGGGTCCCTGGATTGACCCACAGGGGTCAGGCACCAGTGCAGGTGTCAGCCAGCCCACACTTACTCCTCCGAGCCTCCCCTGGGCAGTTGTAGGGCAGCTATCAAGACTCTGAGTATGTTGGGTGCAGGCACAGAGCACCTCAGAAGATAAAATAACATAGTCCTCCCTTTTTGATGTTTTGTTTCTCTTTATTAAGGAACTATTAGACGCTAAGGCAGACCGCTCCCCTGAGTGGCAGCAGCATGAGAGGACACAATAGCCCTGCCCAAAGGAGGGACTCTGCCCTGGCCTGGTGGTGCTAAAACCTGACTGCTGAGTACAGACTGGCAGCCACAGATAGTAGATCCCTGGCTAAAGGGGGCACAGAATGGTATAGAGACACTTAAGGAGAGTCTGGAGCCGGAGGCTTTGGGGAAGGAACTGAAAGAGCAGCTGGCAGGATCCCCGTGTTGACTCCTCCCCCATATGGCAGCAGCCATCTGGCTCAGGCAGACCACGCTCCTGAGCAGCAGCAGTGTGAGAGGACCCAATAACCCCTCC